CTCCCCCAGCTTCACTTGGAGCACTCAACTGCATCTCCTGTGTCTCCTCCCTCTGACACTCGCTCGCGCTCCACCGACTCACTCACTGACTCTCACTCTCACTCTCACTCTCACTCACTCACTCACTCACCCACCCACCCACTCACTCACTCTACTCACCGGACATAAAGGCCCGCAGATAGGAACAGTACTATTATATATGCATGGTGGTGACAGCCGGCAACGATATATCGGAGTCAAGGGAATGGGAGGAGGTAGGAGGAGGCAGGTCGGGGAGTGTAGAAGAAACAGTAGAAGCAGAAGAGAGGTTCTTTCAACACAAATCAAAAAATCAAAAGAATCAAAAACATGCGATGCCCGAAAATAGCAGTTGCAAATAATACAAAACAAAAAATATGGCAAACGCCTAACCCAGGCCATGACCAAATATTGCGATACATCCGGTCACAACTCCATAATCATAATCATACATGGTCCGTCGCAACGTTCGCAACTGTCTCAACGTTCACCATCATCCATGTCATCATCATCATCATCTATCATCGTCGTCGCCGTCGTCGTCGCGTCCGGCGGCGGCGCGTGCATTCATCATAAACTGCGTTACCGTCTACAGACTGTACACGAAGCAGCACTTGCCCTCTAGCCACCTAATTCTAACGAGCGTGCTGTAATAAACAGAGCTCCCCTCACGTAGTCGCGCAATATTAGTTACCCCCATAAAGCGCGTGGACACACCGCGGTGATGCGCTTGTGCGTGCTGTCGATATATATAATATCATGCAGCCAAGCTTCTGATTCGGCCCACAACACACCACACTGACGCGCACAAATCGCCAAGCATGTTTGCTCACTCCGCCACCACGGAGGATATAACACATACCTGCCGCATACAACCTTCGAACATTGCTAGGTTGCTGACAGCTGGTACAATGGACACACAGCTCATATATTATATATATATATATATATACATACATATATGTGTATATACATATAACATACAGCACACGTATTATGTATGTATATGCCCGCTGCTGCGGACGACCTGCTACTATGTGCCACTACCATTCTAGCGTGCGCACCCACGCACACATACATATGTGTACTGCTCAACATAGTATACCAGCAGTAGCATAGTAGCAGTAGCAGCCAGCCAACAGCCAGCAGCCAGCACAACAAACAGCAGTGGCAACAGCTAGCACGATAGCACGCCTGCCAGCGGCAGCAGAAGAGACGAGTGCAGCAGCTAGCAGCCGCCAGCCAAAAAATTGCAAATCAAGGCAAAACATAAAAGACGCTTAACACCTGTACACAACCAATCGATGCTTCAAAACACGATTATGAAATTACCCTGCTATGTTTGTGTGTGTGCTGTGTAGACCACATAATTAACACGGTCTGCTGTTCTATGCCGCGTTAAACGCAACACACACGCGATCGTTACACACCAGCACACACACACACACACAACACACACACACACAACACACACACATACAATAGAACCTCACCTCAGCAAACGCATACACGCATGCACGGCCAGTGTAGCAGGGCCGCTCTCTGCTTTAAACATGCAGGTCAAGCTCCCCCCCCTCCTCCTCGTCACCTCCCATCCTTTCATGGCTCTCCTTTCACCTCCCATTCTTATCCTTCTCCTTGTTATCTAACATATCTATCCTTCTCCTATCACCACCACCCTCTATCCTTCTCTTGTCATCTCCCGCCTGTCAATCTTTCTCTTGTGTACCGCTCAACCCTCATCTTCTTCTGTTACCCACCCCCCTTCTATCCTTCTCTTGGTCATCTCCACCTTCATCTTTCTCTTGTTAATCTCCCACTGGTCAATCTTTCTCTTGTTACCTTCAACCCTCTATGCTTCTTCTGTTACCACCCCCTCTATCCTTCTCTTGTCATCTCCAGCCTTCAATCGTCTCTTGTTAATCTCCCACTACAAGACTTTCTCCTTGTTTAACCGTCAACACCTCTATGCTTTCTTCTGTTTCCTCCCGAAACTTCTCTTCTTCTTCTCATCACGGAGAGGAGGGAGGGTATGTCGTGGGTGGGCGGTAGGAGGGGGGACAGATTTCGGTCAGCGCTCTGTGACGGATGCAGCAATTAACTCTGTACAACGACGGTGACCTCGCCCCGCCGCCCGACCCTGCGCACACACAGAAGACCGTGGCAGGACGCCAGCAGTAAACAGCAGTAGTAGAGCAGTAGATCAGCAGCCCAGCAAGGCCAGAGTAGCGAAGAAGCAGTAGCCATAGCAGCAGCGAAGCAGCAGTAGCATCGCAGCAGCCAAGCAGCAGTAGCCCACAGCAGCACGCACAGCAGCCAGCTTAGCAGCAGCAGTAGACACCACCACCACCAAGCCACCAGCAGCACGTAGCAGCAGCCACCACCACCACCACCGAGCCAGCAGGCACCACCACACCAAGCAGAGCAGCCACACCACCACCAAGCAGCAGCAGCAGCACCACCACCACCACCACACCAGCAGCCCAGCCACCCCACCCACCAGCAGACAGCCAGCAGCAGACAATTATAAAGCGCCCGAAAACGAAAGCTACAGTCAATATTTGCCACTGCACGGCCGAACTGACCCCCCTCTCGTCATTCAGCACACCGAGAGGAGTAGCCAGAGTGATTGACCCGACTGCACAAGCAGGAGAGGCAAGGGAGGATGGGCTATGACTTACACACGCACACACACGCGCTGTTCAGAACAGACAGGCCCGCGCGCCCCGAATAATACAACCTGCCAGACGTGATAAAAAACCATTACCTGAGTTGCGACGAAACCCCGCCACACAATATCGCTCTCTTTTATTTCACCTACGATTTTGTTTTTCTACAAAAAAGTGAAATATCGTATTACACGAGAAAACCGACGACGAGAGCTACGCTTTAATTACGCTGTGTCGGCGCGAACGCGAGTATAAACTTGTAGAATATCGGAGCAGCCCTCGGCGGTCCCGGCGGCGATGCGTCTACCCCCCCCCCGCCGGCGTCAGCCCCCGAGGGGCGCCCTCTCAGCGCACTAGTGTGAGAGACACACGCCTTGTCAAAATGCATTTATGATACACAGATACCTTGAGTTGGTAAAAGGATATCATGAATGATACGCCATAATACACACGACACACACACACACGCACGTGGAGACGAAAAAAACCCCTTCATATAAAATCACCACACACTTTCCTGTTACACATCGCTCGCGCGGAACACAAACCCACAGCGCTGCCTATGTACAGCGGCTCGACGGGCGCCTGTATCCGTCGCGCAGGGGGCGAGGGTCGCTGGCCGTCGCGCGAGAACCTCGCGGAATCTCCTCCCCTTCATCCGGTCTCTCCATCCGGGAAATCCTGCGGACGTGGCGCGCCACCACCTTAGCTCCGTCGTTCCACGGAATCGCCAATCGACCAGCGTTTCCGGCTCCCCGATGCGCTGAGTGCTGTTCACTTGTCCGCGTCTCCGCTCGCCTCGCCTCTGCCATCGCGGCGGAACGGGTCGACGACGGCCGAGCGCAAAACGCGGCCGCCAGGAGCCAGCACGAGCCTCTCCCTCTCTCCGACGCAGACTCCCCCCCGCCGTCGTTATCTCTCGCAGCGAATAACAGCTCGCACGACTCCCACGCCACCCGCGCACGAACCGGCTGTCCGCCGCAGAGCGCACCAACGCGTTCCAAACAACAGCGAGCATCCTACGCGGCCGACGGCTATGGCCACCAGCGGGCGTCGCATCCGCTCTCGACGTCGCCTCGTAAAAAAACAATGCTGGCCATCTCTCTCGAACGAGGATCTCGCTTCCTCGCCGGCATCCGCTGTCGCTCGCGACCTCGCGGGTCGCGCAGACGCCCGGCGCCCCCTACGTCACGACCACCACCTCCTCTTCGCCGACGCTCACCCCCTCTCTCCCATGCTGGTCTCGCCCCTGCGTGACGATGGAGCCGACGCAAGCGCCGCTCGTCTCGCGCTAGCGTAGCAACTGTGTGTGTCGCAGTCTCTCTCTCTCGCGCGCACCGCGTGAGAGCAGCGGCAGCGCGGCACCTGCGGCAGCGCGCTGCCTGCCGCCTACACGATCTGTCTGCCATCTGCCACGTCTGGTCCGGCCGCGACCGACAACGGCGCGCATCAGCGGCTGGCTTGCCCTCGCGACGGATCCGCACGACAGCGTTCCTGATGTGACGCGGGGAGGAGGAGGAGCATGTTCTGCTGGAGGAGGGCGAAAATCGTTCCTCTACGCACTGGGTGGGAGACGCAGCCTCAGGCGTCCCATGGTCCAGCATTCTCCAGAGTGGTTGATGACCCGCTCAGACCCTCGGTAGCACAGCCGAGCGGAAGACACGTTAATAATAAATCACATATAATATATACTATATATTATATAAACAGAGTGTTGATCAGACCCGCTCAGACCCTGCGTAGCAGCCGAGCGAGGAAGATACGTTATAACTAATCACATATATATATAATATAACATATACTAACAGGAGCGTTTATGACCGGCCTCCAGACCCTGGTAGCAACGCGAGCCGAGAGATACGTTAATAAAATCATATATAATATATATATATAACATATATAACAGAGTGTTGATGACCCGCTCCAGACCCTGGTAGCAAGCGAGCGAGAAGATACGTTAATAATAAATCATATATATATTATTATATATATATAATACATATAAGTATATATAATATATAATATAATAATATATATCAGAGTGTTGAGACCCACTCCAGACCATATAATAAGTTTTAACATAATAACAGTCCTCTCACACACAGATTTTCTCACGTGTACATAGTGCATAGAGGGGCTGGTCTACAGAGAAAGTCAAACGTTGATGACGTAACAGATGATTTCCTCTCTGACAGCAGGCTCCCCGGGGGAGGCATGTAGACAACTCACCGGATGATGCAGCCAGTGGTCGTGGGTCTGCGGACGCAGCTTCTTGTGTACTACAACGTCCTGCATGTCCTCTAGGTCGAGATGCAGGCCTATGTCCTCCTCAAACGGCAGCTTGTAGTCGCCCACCGGACCTACGACAATATACAGAATATAGACATACAAGCAGGGCAGGCAGGCAGGCTAGGCAGGTAGGCAGTAGAACGGCAGGCAGGTAGGCAGGACGGTAGGTAGAGAAAGGCAGGCAGACAGGTAGGTAGGTAGAAAGGCAGGCAGGCAAGCAGGTAGGTAGGAGAAAGGCAGCAGGCAGGCAGCAGGCCGGCAGGCCCAGGCAGGAGGCAGGCAGCAGGCAGGCATGGCAGGCAGGCAGCGCAGGCAGGCAGGCAGGCAGGCAGGCAGGAAAAGCCGAGAAGGAAATTTCTGGAAGCCACCAAGCTAAACAAATAAATAACAATAATGATAAATAACACATTTAACCAAAACAATGGGTTAAAACGATCGCGGCAACGAGACAGAGACACAACAGCAAACACCGCCGCCGCCGCGGCGCATACGTTGCCTCATACGTCGTGTTTTATTGCCACGACTGTTTTAACCCTTTATTTTCCTCTTCCCCTCCATTGCAGCTCGGCGTTATCGCGATCGAGACACTCACCGTCGGAGGAGGAGCAGCGGGACACCAGCTCCCACAGCACGAGTCCGCACGCGTACATGTCTATCTTGAGGAAGGCGTCGCGCTGGAAGTTGATAGCTCCTTCCAGCACCTCCGGAGCCATGTAGCGTCTTGTACCGACCTGCGTGCGCGGACACACGTACATGTCACTATGTCTACTTACTACAGTAACCAATACACTACGTTTTCTAGCATGCGTGCGCAGACACACGTGCACCAGAGATGCCAACACATATTTGAAGCAATCTGTAGTTTCTGGCCATCAAATTAGTAGTTCGAGGGTCACGTAGTGATTCTGAGATGCAATTTCCTGCATTCTGAGGGTCAAAAATGACAATAAATTGACAAAAAATAACAATAATTGTCACAAAAAAAATTTGTTTTCCTATTACAGTGAAATTCGTAGTTTGATACAAACTGGTCATAGTGGTGCAAAAGGAATAGAAATTCGTATAAAATATGGATAAATCGGATAGTGGTTGGCATCTCTGCGTACACTCACTCACACACGTTATTCACATAACTACACAGCGAATTATGTTCGATAACATCAAACCGAATACTCACTAGTACGTCTACTTACAACAGTACTTAACCAATACGTTACATTTTCCAGAAACACGTCGCACCCAGCCACACCCATTATTCACAGCGAAAGTGTTTGATATCCGAATACTCAATTACTTCCACTTACTACAGTAACCAATATACTACGATTTACTGGCCGCCAAATCACGGCCACCGATGATAACACGACCCATCTTGCGGACCGCCCCTTCCCGACCCTCACTCGCTAACGACCCTCGTTCGTTAACGATGCGCGTGAAGCCCTCTGCTTCCTCCCCGTACCTGACAGTGCACATCGCCGGTGACAGAAACACGACCCATCTCACGGACTGACCCCCCCCTCTCCCCGACCCTCGCTAACGACCCTCGCTAACGACGCACGTGAAGCCCTCTGCTTCCTCCCCGTACCTGACAGTGCACATCGCCGGTGACAGCAACACGACCCATCTCACGGACTGACCCCCCCCTCTCCCCGACCCTCGCTAACGACCCTCGCTAACGACGCATAAAGTAAGAGAGAAGCACTGGTTTAATCTGAAGACATGCATGGTTAAACGAGTGCAACGCAGACGATAAGCATGTTCATGTTAAGACGCGGCGTGGGTTAAACCCCGTGGCAACCAGTTAGAGAGAAGCACTGGTTCTGTAAGACATGGGGCCATGGTTAAACACTGCAACAAGTAGAGATACGCACTGGTTAATGAAAGAGCACGCACAAGCGACAAATGAACGCAGCAGACAGTGCCGCGCGCGTGTGACAGACACGTCAGATGCATAAAAGGGAAAGCGCTCGTTCCCATCTAACGAGTGTCGAAAGAGCGTTCGCATCAGTCCCGGCACTTCGGCGGGGTGTACATTAGCGGAGTTTCTTTCGCGGTCTCCGCTCTCCGGCGACAGCGCCCTGCAGGGGGGGGCCGCAGTCGCTCACCGCGTGCGCAACTCACTGCATGAACTCGGGGTGGGAGCGCGGCGCGATGGAATTGCAATCTGTAAATGTAATCGCATTATTCAAATACGGCGCCGCGAGTTGGCAGGTAAGCCGTCGCGGTGTAAACGCATGGACATCGACGAGCACTCTGGCTACCGCTAGGCCCGACGATCGAACGTGGCGGCGGCGGCTACCGGCAAACAGCCGGCTCGACCGCAGTCGACAGCGAGCACGACCATTCGTCGTTAATCTGCGTCCAATGCGGGTTTTTACGTGTTTAGCACGTTCTGGCACGGCGTGCGTCAGACGATGCAGTGCGCAAGCAAGTCCTCGAAATTGCGATGCCGCGACGAACGTCGCACGTTGTAAATACGATTGGCAAGTCAAAAATATAAAATTACCGTATAATAAGATTACAATACATTTAAAAGCAGACGGAGATAATCGAGTTACAAAAGAACCACGGCGGTAGGGGGCGCGCTGTTCAGGACCGCTATTGCCGACGACGCAGACGTGCGATCGGCGCCCTATGCCGACGATGTCGAAGTTTAGCGGCGCACCCCTACCGTCCAGCACGGACACTGCACCGGTCTGCACTCTGCGCGCGGCGGCGTGGTGTGCCAGCATCCTGCTTGAGGACCATCGATTCCCTTGCTCGTGTTTGTACCAGACGGCTGATAGCAGTGTGCGGGCGGAGTTCGAGGTCTCTCCTGCGTGCACGCGAGCACGCAGGCTGTCGTTGCTGCGAGCACAGTCGTACGCGAGGTGCAAGCATCCAGAACGCTCAATTGTCGCGCCCGGACCATGCTCACTGTGTTGAGAGAGAGAGAAGAGATTGTGTGAGAGAGAGAGAGAGACAGAGATGGTGTGAGAGAATCAGTGATACAACGGTACAATTCTGCAGACATAACCTACAAACTGCATGCAAAGCGCCTAGACTGTTACACTTGGGTTCTCCACCATGTTCTGCGAGGGTAGAGAGATAATGAGAGAGCAACGTGTATGAATCACTGCATCAACCTGATTAGTAACCTTAGGCCCCGGCTGAAGTACAGGTGTTGTTACAAGTCAAACCTTAACCTCTCTTATTCCTGATTCTCTCAGGCCCAATCCCTCCTCTTAATTCTCGCTCAATCGCA